AAGGGTGGAAGTGAGGGCGGAAGTGAGGGCAGGAAGTGTGTGTGGAAGTTTGGACGGAAGTGAGTAAGGGTGGAAGTGAGGGCGGAAGTGAGGGCGGAAGTGAGGGCGGAAGTGAGGGCGGAAGTGGGGTGGAAGTTTGGACTGAAGTGTGTGAGGAAGTGAGTGTGGGCGGAAGTGGAGGCGGGAACTGAGGGCAGGTGGAAGTTTGGGTGGAAGTGAGGGCGGAAGTGGGGGGGAAGTGGAGGCCAGAATTAAAGAAGTGGAGGGTGGAAGTGAGGGCAGGAAGTGGAGTCGGGAAGTGAGTGAGGGCAAAGTGAGGGCGGAATTGGGGCCAGGAAGTGTGTACGGAAGTGAGAGTGGGTGGAAGTGAGGGTAGGAAGTGGGGGGAGGAAGTGAGGGCCGGAATTGTGGTCGGAAGTGAGAGTGAAAGTGAGGGCGGGAAGTGTTGCCAGGAAGTGAGTAAGGGCGGAAGTGAGGGTAGGAAGTGGGGGCGGGAAGCGTGGGTGGAAGTTTGGACTAAAGTGTGGGCGGAAGTGAGTGAGGGCGGAAGCGTGGGTGGAAGTCAGCCTAAGTGAGGGCGGATCGGGGAGCAGGAAGTGTGTGCGGAAGTGAGAGTGGGCGGAAGTGAGACTGCAAGTGGGGGCAGGAAATGGAGGCCGGAAGTGAGTGACTTTGCACCCGAGACCCCGCCCACACCACAGGGCCCCGACCACCCCACCCTGGGGGAGACGCCTGGGGGGACAATGAGGGGTGAGTTGGGGTCAGGGGGTGTCACGGAGGTTAGGGGGCGGGGCTGGGGGGGTCATGGGGGCCAGGGGGCGGGTCCTCGGGGTCACGGGGTTCACGGTGGTCACGGGTGAGGGGTTGGGCCTGGGATGTCCCGGGACCTCAGAGGTCAAGGGGCGGGGCTTAGGGGTCACGGGGGCCCCTGGGGTGACGGTGACCGTGACGGGTGGGTCAGGGGGCGGGACTTCCTGTGCTCAACGCGATGTGAGGGCGGGACTTCCTGTCCTCCCCTGCTCTGCCGAGTGTGGTGCGCAGCGAGGGGGGCGGGGTTTGCGGGCCTGGCCCCGCCCCCGGGTTGACCCCGCCCCCTCCCCTCCCTCCGGCTTCACGAAATGAAAGGA